TGTTTGTTTGTTTGTTTCATTTTACGCCTTTTTCCAACAGTATTCAGTCATATAGGCGGGTAGTTTCCTAACCATCGTTCCTGGAGAGTTACAACAGTACTAGACTACCTTCCTCCGCGCTAAACTACCAAAGCATCTCCCGGGGATCAAACCCACGCCAGAGAGGTAAATGCGCTTAAACGGAAACAATGTGTAGTTTTAAAATTTACTCGGCAAAGGTAAATCTGCCTCTTAATGCAAAAATTATTTCCGATTTTTGTATTCATAAAGAATAGTAGCAGTGTCTGTTTAATGATGTCATAATGTAGAAAGTGAAAGATCTTTAACATCTCAGAAACTTAAGCAGAAACTTCGTTTATTGAACTCCTTTAGATTTATTTAGATAAGACGCATACACCATTTCTTTTTGTTATTTTACTGATCTTAGAATGACCAATGAAAATTTTTCTTAATTTAGTATTTCACTGTAAATTTTACAGGAACGCATTTGGTCAAAAAAGAGAAACGTGCCAGCAAAATACTCTCAGTGAAATGTACCTTTTCTTCACGGCCCAGTCCCGTGGATTTTTCTGTTTCAAAACGTAATAATTCTGGGGTATAAGGTTTAACTGCGAGGACGCTTCGTACATGGTCAACACAAAATTTGCAATTTTAGAAGCAAATTTGATTTCTGGAGATAGTATTATCATAGTTTTTTAGAAGAGAGAATTTGAAAGGCTAAGTCAACTACCTCGCAGTTATTGCAAGATTTAGAAGTCCATAGGCGTGTGTCAGTTTTAAATTGTGGCAAGCTTTGTTATCACTTGACATAATTAATTACCCGTTATCTGAGTATTGATATTTTACAGTCTCGATCATGGGATTCTAACATTTGTCTTTCGGAGGGAAATATTTAGATTGAACAGTTAGACATTGTAAATCCAGGAATAATTTTCAGTCTCAGATAAGCTCACTTTTCGCATAGTCAATGGTCGTCACAAGAAAGGCAAACAAACTCATATTGGAGAGAGGTTCTTGCAGTATATTCTGCACTTGTAAAGGAATCAGCGAGTAAAATGGTTTTTAGATAATAAGGGAGTTAATTTAACAGTCACAATAGGGTCTACGAGCAAAGGATGACAAGAAACTTTATAAGATATTTTTAAGTTTTGTCTATGTAAATGTATTTCTTTAGAAATTGAGTGAATTCCCCGTTCGCTTAACCACGGATTTATGTAATATTATGAAAAAACTCGACATCAGAAGTCGGTGAATATGAAATAATCTCTTGGGGTTGTATATTTATCTGTTTTATATTTATACATGTAGATGAGACTATGTATAATAAAGAATATATATGTTTATATTTATATATTTTATCAACAAAATCAATAAAATGAATTCGAAATCATTCGAATCATAAGAGATATGAAACGTTTGTCTGTTTGAAGCCGATTTTTTAACTAATTTTACTCAGGACTTTTGAAATACTGTTTTTAATGATATGTGCCGATTTTTGCGAATTCATAAAATGGTATTGCACGACCGTTCATATATTTTGACGTGACTTAATTTGTGTTATTCAAACATATTGTAAAAACGCGCTAAATTTTAGCGTATCAAAGAAAAAAATTGATTCTTTTGCACTTTAAACAGTCTTTTTTGAGGAAATGTGATAGATAGAATATTATATTCGTGTAGGTTCATTGCTGAATTTATTGAACATGTTAAATAAAATAATATTTTGCTCGCCAGAGGCTCACATTTTATTCAACTCCTTAAACAATTCAGTATTTAACCTACATTCATTTAATATCCTCTATATAATATCCCTCTTCATTTATAATTATTTTAGCGATATTTTTCCAAATTCAAATTCGATCGATTTTGTTAAGATTTGGTAAAGTATCTGTAATGAGCGCATTTTTTGCGCGGAGATTCTCAATTGCTGCAGTGCAGTAACATTGTATCAGACTGTACTTGTATCAGACCTTTATTAAATTAATGCGGCCGCCATTTTTAAAAAGTTGTGTATTTCACGGGTTTGATTCAGAGGGATATAATTTTGATTTGTTAGTCATACATCTTATTTGAGGATTATTACAGACAATAACTAAGTATTGAAAGATGTGTAAACATTCAAAAAGCGGCTAGGAAATTGGAAAACATGGAATTGTTGAAAGACTGTCTTGCGAACGCTTGGTTATTCCCTGCGGTTTGGAGACCGCAGGGTATTGGTACGCGTTTAACTTTTGAGGCATGGAGGAGCACGTGACCTGTTTTCGGTACATGGAGGAGCATGTGATCTGTAAACCGTATATGATTGGTTAATTGACCTTTTCGAAAATCCAGCTAAATAGCGCTTGCCTGTACGTTACGGATATACCTGTAGGGAATTAGTCCGAATTATACCTAATTGAGAACAAAAAACTATTTACGTGATATTTCAAATTTTCTATAATTATTTTACCGTTTAAGGTGGAAAAACTTGAATGATGTGTTTGAAAATTATCAATGTTTCTTTAATATCTATCTCAAATTTTACAAACAATAAATTGTTTATACTGAAAATCTACAAAATTAAAATATTCGAGATAGAGATATTTTCTGCGTAAACTTGTGTGTTTACTTTATTTATTTTTTGCTCGGAATTATTCATAAAATGGTCGGCCTATGTTATCATTTTCCTAAAGCTGCATGCCTCGAGATGAGTCAAAATATTTCAATAACATCAAACTTGAGAAATAAGTACTACGATTTTGGGAAAAGTAATATGATTCAAGATTCAAGTAATATTTTACATGTTATGTGCGGTTAATGACTGATTTTTTGAATATTTACAATTATATTTCTACTGCGTTACTAACGCAGTAAGGGCTATTTATGCATATTTTGACAACTTTTTGGTAATTTACGTTAGTAATAAGTTTCATTGATAATGTGCAAATTGCTTCATTTTGGTTATTTTATTATACATTCAAATACATTTTCAAAATTTTCATGAAAATTAGCGTGAATCTGAAGGCTGCTTTAAAAAGAAATAATTGTTTAATGTTCGACCTTCTCCGGTCTTCAACGGTCACCAGTTTCCAAAGACCTTCTTCTATATTAATCGATTTTTGTCAGCTATATTCCTGATACAAACGTTTTATCCCCCTCCCCCCAAATAATGTTGAAAATAGTTAAATGAAATATCTTTATATCATTAAAATGTTCACCGCAGGAAACTATTTTACTTGTTTACTTATTGTAAGAATTGTATTTTTCAGACTGTAAAAATGAAACAGATTTAGAGACGATATTCAGTGATTGGTAATTTGAATGAACTGAAGTAAGTTTTCTTCTTTTACTACTTTTTTCTCTAAACAACCCTGACAATGTCAGAATTGTCAGCCAAAAATAAAATTGAGGTACCACATGGGAAAAAAAACAACACTAAAAAAAGTAGTTTCGAAATTATATTTTGATAATTTTCAAAGTGAAATTATCAAATATAATTCACGGAAAAATCAGTTATAAAATAAAACATTTTATTTTATAATTTTCGTACATTCTTGTTTTCTCTTTTACTTTTGTGACATCGCGTTTTTATCATCGTACACTCGCATATTCGCTATCGTGCCATCGAAACATCAAACTTTCACCACTGGACAATCGTCATCGTAATTTTACCATTGTTCATTGACTTCAACTGATATCGGACAACATCTGTTTCTATGTTATGTCAATACACTTTAGCAAACACCTTTATGATGATGAGAAATATGCTTAATGAGGGTCCATCCGCCCTTTCAGTCACTAAATGAGACAGACACATTGCTACTACATGTATATTGACTTTATAATTATTGAAATATACAAAATATGTCCAATGTTTTGTTGCTTTACAAAACATATCTTTTTATAGACAAATTTGAGTAGTATAAATACCACTAAATTCCTCTTGCTATAAATTGTCCATTAAAAATATTGCTCCTAAAATTTACGAGAACGTGCAATTGGCAGGCTTTATGCTGGAATGACGATGAATGCCGTCGCTATGAATATTGTGTGTTCTAGTCCTGCTTTTCGACACCTAAGGCAACGTTTTCAAGCAATAAGACGTATAGAAAATCGAACATGTAGAGGACGTCCGCGCGTCACGACGCATTTGCAAGACGCGGAACACTCACATACGCAATCGCTTCCAAACTGGCACATCAATTGCTGCTTACTCATTACATTCTGGTACGCATATCAATCTTATATCAGCTAAACTGTGCGAGGGTGGTTTGCTACGACGTCGACCTTATGTTGGTTGTGTTTTGAAGCCACGCCGCCTCCTAAATGTGGCGGCCTAGCGGCCCGGCGACCTTACGGCGTGAAGTTTGCGACCTAACGGACCAGCGGCCTGACGATGTAAAGTTGGCCGCCTAGTGACCCAGCGGCCTAGCGGCATGAAGTTTGTGGCATAGCGGCCTGAACTTAAAGTGTTGTAGAGGTTTGTTAAAGAAATTAAATCGACTAAAAATCACATTCAAAAAAATTGCTTGGCAACCTAAAATTTTACAGTTGTAGAAATGTTATGAAAAATTAAAACGACATTTAATGAAGTTCTTTGGCAAATTCTCTCTTTTTAAGGATAAATAAAGAGAAAAAATATCACTTTAAGAGAACTTTTAAATTTTATCATTTTTGTATACATCTATACATGTTTTAGCCCAATTAATACTTTATATTTATACTAAACAAAAAAGAAACTTCCTGTGTATTTAAGTTCAGATATATATACACATGTTTTCAAGGTCTTAGCCCAATTAATATTTGAAGAGCATAGTTGAATTATTTTTCATCGAACAAATAATATTTTTATACACTCAACACACCATATGAATGTTTCTTGTGCATAAAGTTGTTAATTTCAAAGTACACCCGGTTAAATCTTAAAGTTTCATTTATATAGCGGATGTATTTGAAAACGGTGGTATTCCAATTCTATTTTTAGGAAATGACATAAGTATACCCGTTAATATAACTACCCGTGTAAAAATAGAAATGTGAAAACCCGTTTGTTACTAAAAAAGGTAGACATGTCTATATCTAGCTATCCTAATTCATTCAGTGGAAAGGGTTTCATTAAGTAAGGTGAGTTAAAAATTTTGTTAAACTATTGTGTTGTCTATTTTTTTTCATTTTCACTATAGACGCTGCTGTCGAAATATATAATTATAATTATATTCATATTTCTCAATATTTGGTTAGATGATAAGTTTTATCCACTACATCAACATGAATTTATTACTAGTCGGACATAACATAAATTTGCAATTCTGCAATGTGATTACTATTTACATTATAATGCAGAAGATTTATAAATCATACAAATCATGTTGATCGTGATTATTTCGATGACGATGACGGACAGGTAGAATAGTTAAGTCGCATTCCCGCAAAAATGAAAATAATAACCAGTTAGTAAAATCTATAGACTTATACTGATCAATTTGATAAATTTTCTATGTTAAGTTTAAGTTTACAAAATAAGATAACATGTAATAATTATAGTTTTTCGCTTTTTACTAGGTCTGAGATAACGATGAAAATCGGAAATAGTTGTTTGTTTACTTAACTTCACTATTAAGCACATTTTTATTTGTTTGGGTCGTCAGATGGTAGCGAAATTTCAGACCCTGGTGTTCTTATTTGCAAACCAAACTCCTCGAAGCGGTTACTTCCCTTCATATGTACATTATCGCCGTAAAATTAAGGGGAGATCACTGCGTAAAGATTGTCAACATTTGGAACTGCCTCGGCTATTATCTATAATAACATCGGAAACAATACGGATTGAAAGTAGTTCTACCGATGTAAACAGAAATGAGATAATGTAAAACGAATGTATATATTTGACACCTAATGTCCGTTCCGGTACTCTTATGCTTGAAAATATGTCCGACAACAAACTGTAATTTAAATATGGCCACTGATGTTCAATTTTAAACAAATCCGACTAAATGACAACAGGTTGGTTTTTTGTACTTTCGGTTTCTACAGCCATATTAGTAAATATATAAATAATGTATTGTTTGCGTTTGTACCTATTCACTTATTTTAGGTGGACTTTTACTACATATATTGGAAATAAACTTGTCAACAACTCCCAGCATTAAATTACTATTTGTTTACATTGTTAGTTTCTTAGCGTAGGTTAGACCGGAATACCGCATCCGTTCTGTGTATTCATACTTTTGTGTGTGATGTCCTTATCCGAAGACTGACGGAAAGGGCCGAGTAGTTGCGATTGGATTGTCAAATTACAAAAATATAAAAATGAATAAAGTTAAAATGAAATTTTTTAAAAGTCACAGCATGAATTTCTGTATAAATTCTATATATTTCAAGTTTGCAGTGTTAATATGTCTAGATATATTGAACGAAATTTAGAGGCCGACACATTCGCCGAGTAGTTTTAGAACAAGCTATGTGACTTGAACAAATTAATTCATTCATTTAGGAAAAACACTAAATTGCTTTATAGCAGTTGCGTTTCGTCGCTTCTTGTATATATCAGTATAGTGTTTTCACTGAGGCTCAAACATTCCCAAGTAGCAAAAAAAAGTAAGAAGAAAATGAATGAAATGATATTATTCTCATATAATTATGCAACTGCTGAAACCATAAGGTACATCCTCTGAATGAATTATTTCCACTAAAAAAGCCCTTAAATCTTGAATCCGAATAACCAGGGGGTCGAGCGTATAGCGGTGCGATAATCCTTTAAGCAAGGTGAAATCATGCGATACCGACTAATGGCCGACGAAAACGAAAGTGGGTATGAGCCTGTTTATTTCCAAATATTTGTTGTCTATTGTAATTTCTTGAAGAAAAGCATTGTGCATGATGATCAGAACATATATTTGTGCATGATCGTCTAAATAAAATACTTTATTTTTATAGTATTGAGGAAGTTATTGAGGTATTTGTTGATGCAAATGCAACCGTCAACCTGATATGCACATGCAAACGAATACAGAATCAGTAGTTTTAAAACGAAATATTCGATTAGTTTAAGTCCCAACATGTTTATTTTTGATAACCAAACGATATACAAGAGTAGTTTTCCATGTCTATCCGAAAATATATACAATAATTCCAGTTTTCGTATTGTACGCCTAATATTTGGTTCGATAAACCAACTGTACGCACAAATGTTGGTATGTTTTTATCTGTAGCGTCGGGGACTTAAACATGGGTTATATTCTCGTAACTAACTCGTTTTATATACTATAACTATTACAAACAGAACAGGCAGGTGTCAGCTTCCGTTTACCCGATGCAAATTTAATCCAAAACGTCACTTTCAGCAGTTATCTGCACTAACTTCTTAAATTTCTTGACTTTACATGTATATACATCCTGATCCGGATATTCAAAATACGCATGTTCTGTTTTTAAATTTAAAACTCTGTGACCCGCTGTTACCCAGCTTCACTTTACTATACAAAACGGAGTACACAAAAACTTAGGATTGGCATACATGTATTGTCGAGAAATTTAAGAAGTTAGTGCAAATAACTACTACCATGGGCTAAGCAAAATGGCATTATAATTTATATAGGGAAAGAAATGATCTGTTGTAATACTCAGCTGGCTAGGCAATCTAACGGGGCATTCCAAAATATAGTGTAAAAAATGCTCTGCTGGAATGCTTAGCTGGCTATGCAATCTAGCAAGGCATTCTTAAATTAAGTAAAAATTGCTTTGCTGAATTGCCTAGCCGGCAGAAAAATTTCGCGGGACATTATTAGAAAAAGAATTATAAATTTTCTGCTGGAATGCCGAGCTGGCAGAGCAATCTAGCGGGACATTCCTAAAAATGGTGTAAAAAATGCTTAGCTTGAATGCTCAGCCGTCAGAGCATTCTGAAATATTGAGTAAAAATGCTGTGTTGAATGCTCGGCTGGCAGAGAACATAGCGGGAAATAGCGGGACATTCTTTAATAGGGTATAAAACTGCTTTACTGGAATGCTGCGCTGAAACAAATCAGCCGACAGAGCATTCTTAAATACAGTGTAAACATGATCTGTTCGAATGCTCAGCTGGCCAAGCAATCTAGCGGAAACTTCCATAATATTGCATAAAAATGCTTTGCTGGAATGCTCCGCTGGCAGCGCAATCTAGCAGAGCATTCTGAAATAATGAGAAAAATGCTCAGCTATAATGCTCAGGTGGCAATGCAACATTCCAAACTTTTGTTTTACAATGCTCTGCCGGAATGCTGAGCTGACTAGGCAACCTAACAGGGCATAATTAAATAATAATTTTATAAAAATGTTCTTATTAAATGCTTAGTTGGCTCGGCATTCTAGTAGGGTTTTCTTAAATAGAGTAAAAAACTGTTGTGCTAAAATGCCGTATGGAAGTCTGCGACTTACATCCTCGCAGACTTCCAGAATTTTTGGTACAAATTGATTTATAACCTATTTTGGGTTTTAGTAACCCTCAGGGGTCCATTTCTTTGATCTGCGACTGATTCTTGGGCACTCATAGACTTTCGGGGTTTTTTTTGTGCCAATGCAGATAATAGCATTTTTGACTTAAATGGACCCTAAACAGTCTATATAAAATGGCATTGTCTGCTACTAAAATTATTTATTTTGTAAATTTTTATTTTTATTTTTTTAATGATAACATTAATAGTTGATCTGTAAGTAAACACGTTTGCTCCATGCGAGAGGTCAGTTTGCACCCGTTGAAGATTTGTTATAATTGTTCAAATGGAAAGTAAGAACTTCTTATTGATCAAATTGCATCTGCGAACAATAAAATCATGTCGCCTATTTCTGTCAGTCTCCGGGTAAGCTCAGTAGAGGTGTTTCTAAGTTAAAGAAGCAGCAAATTTCGGTACATCATTCAGTCATATAATGATGCTTTGTGATATTGTTACGAATTTTCTCTTTTGATGTTTCTATGACCGAAATCTGTCTAAACAGCTTTTCACTGAAAATGTCTATCATTTAGAACTATATCCTTGTATAAAAAATATTATAACCCCTCACTTTCTTCGCAAGTTAATTTCTCATAGGCCTCTGGGAATTTTCTTAATGTTAATGCAAGTGAACCATGTGACTAAGATATTTTTCTGTTACGAGGTAACAGTACTATTTAACAGTATAAAATCTCGTTTCTAAATAAAACAAAATAAAATGGCCATTTTTTCTCGATTCATTCCTATTTAAGAAGTTCACCACGATAGGGCATCACCAGAGTGACTATGGCACCAATAAAATTTAGTTCTTTGTACCCTGGAGTGCTTTTCGAAAACAATAAAAATATTTTTTTGTTGAGTAGTAAAAATTAAAATATCCGTTTTCATTGGAAATAAATGCAATGTAAATAATCATGTGTCAAACTGGAACATGCAGACGATTAAAGCATGTAACAAAGGATTATCTAACAATTTTAATCAGTGAAACAATGTAGATATGGCGGAAAGACATAGGACATCATCGTTATTTTGTTAAATGAATGCACTTTGTTCAAAACCATGCGATACAGGAGGATCAGATTTCACGGATCATAACCGTATAATTGGGTATGTGTTTTGTATTCTAACTAAAACACAGCTTATTGTATGCTTATGACTGAAAACTTAAAGAATACATGAAAATGAAAAAATAACTTCTCAAGTAGTCTTACAATATAGTATATTTACAACTTGCAAGGACAGTCTAGTTGTTACTCTTTGTTTAGTTTTGTTACAGTTAGATTTATTTGACTATTTCAGATCATCACAGTATTTGTTTGTGGTAATAGGTTACAAACATGGGTTTGTGAGTAACAGTAAAATATCATTTCCTCTGGATGATATTTTTATAATTACCCACACACCCATGATTGTGTTATTTACATAACAAGTGAAAGCATAATAAAATCAATTAAACTAAAGTTATGGATTATTATTTTATTTAGCAAGTTCAACACTTAAACTACAACAACTCAACTTAACAAAAATATTTCTCCAACTCCAATAAATTCGAAAAAACACATGACAGTGAAACATTCGGCCGATGCGCAGCAGAGAATTAAATAGCCCGTCTGCTTTCAATAGAGGTCTTCCAACTTCGAAATTCTCTCATGCATACCGTATTTTTATAGTTTCTAAAAACCTGACACTGTGAGGTTGATTGGCAGGCCAGCGGCCAGGCGGCCTAAAACTTTTGAGTTGAAAATAAATATTATAGCAATCAAACGGTCGTTTTTATTGTTTTAATAACATTTCTACAACTATTGAATTTTAGACCGCTTCGCATAAAGTTATTTCGAAGTGACCTTTTCTGTTTATGTTTTTAAATACCAAGAATTGTCTTAAAAACTTCATTAAAAGCAGCTTTTATTTTTTTCGAACATTTTCCCAACTTTATGCCGGAAGATCGCCAACTTATTTCTACTGGGCCGGCAGGCTGCCAATTTTACGTCACTTAATCGTAAATTGCACACCGCTGGGCCGCTAAGCCTCCAACTTCACACCGCTAGTACGCAAACTTATGGCTACTAAACCGCTGGTTCGCAGGGTATCCAGGCCGCATTTTTTTCACACATCTTGTGAAGAAATAATGATTATCTTACAATAAATGTTTTGAGTCTAGAAATATTGTTTTCTTTATGTTTCTTTGAAGTGGTTTCCACAGATCGTTTTATGAATAAAAATTAAATACATTTTTCTTAAAGTCTGAACATTAACAAGCGACCACACTATCAAGCACTCAAGTCGGTCCTATTACAGTAATAATAATAATTATTAAAATAATAATAATAATAATAATAATATCTTTATTTAAAGAAGGTTACACATTTAGAACATACAATAGCAATCATATATATCTTATTTCAAATCTGGCCTTTTGAAATAAAAACAAACAACAACAACAACAACAACAACAATAACAACAACAGGACATGCATAGGTATAAGTATAATATGTAATTTTAAGCATAAGACAACTCATACTTTCGACAGACACTCAATAGTTTCTTTAAACATATACATATATTGCATCATTCGTTCGTTGCCATAATAAGAAAATGTGTCTTTAATATAATTTGCTTTAGGTCTTGTCCATAATACAATATCTTTTCGTGACCTAGATCTTAAGTTATATATTTTGTGGTCGGATAAAGTCATCAGTTCTGTCAACAAGTCGGTGCCATGTTATTTAAAGTTTTAAAAACAAGCACTGCCATGTGGTATATACGTCTGTCAGGGAACGGTAAGCAACTGAAATTCTTAGCGGCCTATATTTGAGAGAGACTACTTACATGTTACAGGTCACACTGCCGGTATACTAACAGAATGCAAAATTTAATTAAATCTTGAGAGCTCACATATATCTGTATTGAAAGAGGGATCCTACAAATCAGATATACATGTCATTATCAATCCTCTACTGAAACCCTCCATCCAGAGATAAAATCCTGCAAAGATACACACAGTACACGCTTAAAGTACTCGAAAAAGACACTTCATGTACACAATTACAAAAATTATACTTAGAATATAACCAATTTCACAAGGGACGATTTAAATAGACCACTTCAAAATTTTAAAGAACTACTTACTAGACTTCAACGTTCAGTTGTGGCAACATAAGTCAAGTGGTAAAACTACTTTCTCCAAGATTACTATGCATAATCGTTAATGTATTTCGAAAGATATTAATGTAACTTACTATATTGATTGTCAAAATATTTGCTTGTGTGATAAGGCCTCGCAACGATATTTTTTTCAGAATCATTACAAACAAGTGGGTTTACTATTTTTTAGATTTTATAATAATATTCATATATGTATCAGCATGTGGATAACTGATTTCTACTATTTTGTAGGATGGCAGATAACTATTATCGGTTGGTGACATTTGTCGTGAATATCTGCCCGAAACCCTTAAGAGCCCTTTTTGTCTCAAAGGCAGAATCCGATCCAAACCATCTCTATACTAGCGTGAAAGACTATCTACAAATTCGGGAATCTGATATAAGAAAGATACGGCAAATCAGACCAGATCAACTTAATCTTATCTATCCACATTTTGGGTCTGTTGATATAGAAAATTGGGACGTTACTCTGCTGATACTCCTGCTTAAGGAATTATTTCCAAATCGATTACAACAAAATGAAAGAGACTGTCTCCACGATATTACTGAGATCAGAAACGAATTACAACATATCGCAAGTACTGAACTTGTAACTGACAAAGAATTCAACATAGCATGGAAACGCCTGAGAGATGCTGTTGTGAAGTTAAAGACTCTGTCAGGGTCAACGACGTTAGTCGCCATAGAGGACGAAATTAAATCGGTATTACATGGTAACATGCCATCTCTTGCAGATGTACTAAATACATGGCTCAAGTCTCTATACCATGAACAAAACAAAAAATTTTCCGACAAAATCTCGGAACTTGCCGAGGAAATAAAAAATCTGAAAGAAAAACTCCAGTTGCAGCATACAGAACTTACAAAGAAAGTAACAACTGCAAAAGAAAACTCTAAAGAATCAAAAAAGATTTTAAAGAATGCAAGTGTAAAAAGGAAGGGACGCTCAGGTATTGTATTAATTCTTGTTATGATTGTTTGACGTCAAAAAATATTGAGTAGTTCTTCAGCTTTTGTAACGCATAAACAATTGTTTATCTAATTAAAACACTATTTTGTCTCAGCATGCATAGTACGAAAAACTAACGTGAGTATTTCTTTTCAGGTGTTGCTGAAAAAAGATTTAAAGTTTTTGATGATAAAATCGATCGAATGAAAGGTAAAGCATTTTCACCTTTGCATGTATTTATGTCTGCCTGCTTAGATCAATAGGGATAACATTGGATTTGTAATTAAGAGGTCGCTGGTTTGATCCTTGGGCGAGGTGACAACTGTTCTCTAAAGTTAAGTCTTTTATTTACAGGAATGTTGATCAGCATGTGTAGTTGTGCACCTGGGTACTTTCGTGTGGATATTTTTAGTATTTTCAGAGTTATTGCCCTTGACTTAGTAAAATTTTGCAATTTTCAACATGTGTGGCAGGAATGTTGATCAGCATGTGTAGTTGTGCACCTCAAAAAGGATTTGACATAGTCATTAAACCTTATGGGCAGGTTGCTCAGCATATTTAGATTTGCACCTGGGGTTTAGCTTGTGGATTTATCCAGTATATGTAGAGTTATTTCCCTTGACTTAGTAAAAAGATTGACAGAACAGTGGCGCGGTGGGGGCACCCGTGTCCTATGGACACATTTCTAGTTTAGCATTATAAATATTTATAAAATATGATTAATTTAAGAAGTAAAATTTAAATGTCTTTTTTGTCTTGATTGGCCAAGAAACTAAAAACATTTATATTGCACCGAGTAAAGGACTTAAATCACAGTTATGTTTTATCATATAATCTTTTATTCCACTTTTCAGTGACTGATATAACAATTAATTAACACATTTACATGAGAACATAACATAATAACATACGATTACTGATTATATACACGAAAAGCATGTCATACACAATGTCATACATTAAATATAGAGTTACATTATATTGAATTATAACAACCTGCATACACAATGTTAACTTATTAATAAGCACATGATACATTGTCAATGTTCGACATAATGGTATTTACTGAATAGTTTTTTATGCACTTTTACTAAATATTTTCCTGATTACATTTATAACTTATCGAAAATACGAAATATAAGTGTCATGTATAGGAACATTTAGTATGGATTTATTATATTGCATTTAACCTTAGAAGTCTAAGATAAACATCCTCTCATAGAGAATGTTATTAGAATGTTCTAGAGATTACTTTTTATATTCCATCGTTAGGTCGTGAACGTATTTACAACATAGGTTGGTGAAGCCTTTTTGGAGTTCTGGATTAATACCAAAGACAGCCAATGAATTGGAATCAAAGAGTCCTCGCAAGAATGTTTCCGAATTAATTCTAAGGAAATAGCTGCAAACTTCAGAGCTAAATTTCTGATCAATTGAATGTGTAAAGCGTGTCCGTTCACGTGTATATGTATCACATTCAGCTAAGATATGTCTGTTTATATCACTAGTTTCTTGTAGACATTTTGTACAGGAATAACTTGTATAAAACTGTCGATATAGAAGTATTTTCGTTGCACTTATAGCATGTTTAATCTCACTGTTTGTATTTTAAAACAGCCATAAATGTAAAGGCGTTACTGATTGATGAACTGCTATAAATCTGTCAAATTATCTGTCACTGTTAATTCTTTGTTGCCACATGTTGTTTTGTGTATTTGTAATTGCCTTTTTAATAATATTTTTCCGAGAGTATTTGCATGGAAAATGTGCATGTTTCATGTAGTCAGAAATGAAATGGAATAGTCCGTATTTGTACAATAGTCTGCAGATTTCGGGGACAAAGCCGCGTTGATTACAATAACCTTTCATAACAAACAAGTTAAGTCTGTAATTAAATAGTTTTCTTGACAGATAGTGTGTTGGTATAGTACACAGTTTTTGTAGGAAAGTTAGCTTTCTCTGGTCTATGTCTGCTTCAATAGTAAACCATCCCAGTGTGCTTAGAGCCATGTCCATTCTAGATGTTGTATTTGTTTCGCTGCCGATCGTTCAAATCGTTGGATCTTTACAATGTCAGTATTTGAAACGTTATGCCATAGTTCAGCCCCATAGAGAAAGGTTGAAAATGATACTTTTGTACTAATGATGCTAGGGTCAGTGGATTTATATCACCAACATTGTTTTCTAGGGATAATATTGAAAAAAGTGACGATTGTCCTTTATGTATACGTTGATCGATTGTATCTGTTACACTTAATGTCTTATTAAGTTTAATTCCAACATGCACAACGGTATCACATGATGATATTTCAGAATGACCAAAGTTTGCTTGAAATATATTGTCAGAAATTTTTCCGCCAAACTTCAATACACAACATTTGCTATAGTTAAATTCATATCCCCAATATTTGCGTATGTGTTAACAATAGCAAGCTGGTTCTCTAGTGATGTTAATGATGGACTTAATAGTGTCAAATCATCGGCAAGTGTTGGATTGCCACATGCAATATTACCGGTTATAATTCCATGTTTGCAACTTTCAAGATTTTGTAAAAGCTCATCAATAAAAAGTGGGTAGCTCCAAGTAGACATTATCCCGCCCTGTCGAATGCCCTGCAAAACTGGGAATATATCTGACGTAACGCCATTAACGGTGACGCAGCCAAATATATCTTTATAACTGTTAATTATGAGTCGCAGAAATTTACCTTTGATTCCTAAATTATGCATTTTCATGATAATGGCATTGTGTCTCACATTGTCAAATGCACCTTCAGTATCTAGGAAAGCGGCATACACACTAGAGTTACTCTCTGTGTATGATAGTACAGCTTCTTGTTGATTGAAAGATGCGGTTACTGGTCCTAAATGTTTTTGATACGCATTTTTGTTGTGCGCTCGGAAATTTTAGCTGCTTTGAGGCTGTCCATGTTGTTAGACGATGATGAAGCACTCGTTCAAATAGTTTATAAATAACTGGCAGAAGGGTTATTGATCGATAACTTTTTGGTTCTGTTCTAAGTTTCCCCTCCTTATGTATTGGAATTATTACTCCAGATTTGCATGCTCCAGGAATATAATTACATTCAAGCATTATGTTGAAAAGTTTTAACAAGTATGAAGCTAATGTTTCACCTCCATGAATGATGTGCTCGGTTGTAATAGAGTCAAGACCGGGTGCTTTTCTACATTTCATATCACGAAAACAGTCTTTCAGCTCGTTCATGGTAATTTCATTTGTCAAAATGTCATCTTCTGAATAGTCATCGCTTTCTTCGAACATTCTAACACTTTCATCGAGATTATTCAAAAAATCATTGTCAAAGCGTTCATTATTTTTCGGGGTGAATACATTGGCGTAATAGTCTCTGAAAGTTTGCGCAATTTCAGCAGGTTCTCGAGTAAGATGGTCTCCATGAGAGATCTCATTAACTGGATTAGATCGTTTACCTTTTCTGCGTTTAATTAAACTCCAAAAGAGCCTCATATCACATTCAGCAGTTTCATTTAGGTCATCATAGTATTTTTTAATTAACATCCGAAATAGCGTTTTTCTGAGCATTGATGAATATGCGTTTTTCCGCTTTGTAATTTGTAAAAAACACATTTTCTCTTCCTCGTGGTTTGCCTTGTTGAAAGCCATTTCAAGCGCTTAGTCTTTTGTCGTTTATAAGCAGCCTTAACATCTGTGTTCTAGTACGGTTTAACATGATTGTTAAATTTACTTATAGGAAGTAACATATCAGAACAATGTTTTATGCATGTAACAACATGTCTATATAAATGCTCAATATTTTCTATTGTATAGCTCAAATTTGAGATGTCTAATTCTGATAACATCGTATTGAGTTATTTGGCATATGCTAAGAGATTATCAGGTTTACACTTGTTCCATGCTACATATGGAGTATGAGAGACATATATATGAGTCAGTGGTAAAACACATTTAGTAAGTATCGGTAAATGATCTGAAACAGAACAACATGCATCATCAAACACATGGCAAGATTTAACAATATCATATTGTGACTTACTAACTATATTATTTATCAGCTGTTCGCTGAGATACAGTTTTACATTTACAAAAAAACAATGATGCTAGGTGAAAATGATAATATTCAAGCGTATTAATCAAAAGTTTTGTATCATATTGCATTTGAAAACATTAAATTAAACATAACTGTCTTTTCTTATTCACAAATACACACCATTTCATAATCAGTTTAACTCAACGTAGGGAACGTGTTACAGTATCGCGTTTTCCGGTTAAATTATAGCATTTTCAAGATGGAGGATTATTTGTTGGGAAAACAGGTAGGTGATTTTTATTCCCACCCACACTACATGTAGTTTAGTTTTTTAAAGATGTTTTGTGCTTTTCTTGTAAGGAACTTAATCTGGAATCTAGATATATATTTTTTCAGACCCTGCAACGCAGTATTATCTCTATATTGTCTCATTTATGTGCTGTTTGACAGACTGCAAATTCGAATCGTAAGGAACTTGATCCAGTATCTACCGCAGATTTATCTTTATTTTGTCTCATAAACTTGCAGATTTGACAGATTGAAAATTCGAATCGTGAGAGCAACACATTTTTCACCCATTCCGACATTATTTAAGCATGCGTTCCAAAAAGTAAACCTACAAAATCGTTAGTCCGTATTTAGAAACGTTGATGAAAATAAACAACCAGTAGAACCTATTTGCTTGTTCGTCAAATGCGTTTGAAAAAATAAACAATGTTACAGTATAGAGCGAGGTGAATTGAGCAGGGTTACAGCATAGATCCGATTTTGTTATAGTTTATACCCAAATTTCTGTTACAGCTTAGACCTCGATATTTTTATATATACTAGCTAAAATATATGAATGACAGATAGACTTTTAAATCTAAGCACGACTGGTGAGCTTATTGGCCCAAAGCTATTCGTTCGTCTGTGGTACACATGTGTGTCCAATCTCATCCTCTCAGTAACTACTTGACCAAATTTGATGAAATTTACATGAATTTCTATAAAAGTTGTTCAAATGGTTTCGGATGCAATTTTGAATACCAAAAAGCATTTAAATCAAATCATGACACTGGTGTCATTTCAAATGCTTCTTTCTTGAAGTGAAGATTATTTTGTCATTATTATATTTAAAGTTTTTTTTTTTCCAGACATACTGCATTGAAGTTTTGATGTTTCTGAAAAGGAAAATAATATTGAAAGATATAAGAGTATAAATTAAGGTCAGACAATTACAGTATCTTTTCCATGGAGCCTAATGGATGTACATATATTATAGTGACAGAGTCGGGACAAGATCGCCGACTTCAAATTATTTTTCATTTACTGCTGTGGTTGAAATCCCGTCATGACGCTGGGTACTTTGTATATGAGGAATATATGAAGCTAGTTTACAGAAGGTAGTGGTTCTAGTCAGGTGTCCGCTAGTGTCTGAAATGTTTCACAAAGGGGTATCTGGGGTCTTTCTTTCCAGTGAAACAGGAATGCTTTCATATGACCTCGTGTCGGTAAAACTTAAAATCCGAGAAAACCAAAAATAAATAAAAACATTATTGTAGATGAAATTCCAGTTTAAAATATGTATGGTTGTAGTATTTCTCACTCGAATACTGTTTAATCACCCTTAGGGTATGTTGCCTGCTTTTTTTAATTGTGTCTTTTGACAGCTTATCTGTGGTATGCAGATTTTATAACTTACGATCCCCTTTCAAAATTCCTTTTTTAAGTTTCACCCTTTGTATTCTCTTTTTTTCATGGAATGGCAGATTACATTACTTATTCTGCAAAAAGTTTCAATCTGAATATAAGTACTAAAAGGAAATAGCAAACTATGACTTTTCTGTTGAAGAAAAAATGTAATACAACCCTTCAAGAATATATTAAATAGAGAGGTATGGGTTATTTCATAATAATAATATGAATTAACGAATTTTATTTGAAATTTGGCAAGTATCTAAACTGTAACCGAAATCTGCGTATATACTGTAACAAAACGGGATCAAAGTCGCTCGGTCTATACTGTAACCCTGCAAAATTCACATCGCTCTATACTGTAACATTGTTCATTTTTTTCAAACGCATTTGACGAACAAGAAAATAGGTCCAACTGGTCGTTTTCTTTTGTAAACGTTTCTAAACACAAGGGACTAACGTTTTGTAGGGTTACATTTTGTAGGCATGATTAAATAATGTCGCAATGGGAGAAAATGCGTTGCGCTCTCGATTCGAATTTGTCAATCTGTCAAATTTGCATATTTATGAGACAATATAGAGATAATTCTGCGGTGCAAGGTCTGGGGAAATATATGACTAGATACTGGATCCAGTTCCTTACGAGCGAAGCACAAAGACATCTTTCAGAAACCGAACTACATGTAGTTTGGATCGGGAATAAAAATCACCTACCTGTCTTTCCCACAAATAATCCTCCATCTTGAAAATTCTATAATACTGTAACCGGAAAACGCGATACTGTAACACGTTCCCTACCGTGCAACTGTGCCTTTCATATTTTTTACTTATTTTTACTACACATAAGAGCCGGGACGTATCTGTGTCATTTTAAGATGTTTTTTGTTCTATTTTAAGTGTCTTTTTTGCTTTGAATTTAAAGTTTGATATATTATTTCCTATATAAGTGTGTCCACACGAAGAAACAATTCCTTAAACTTTCAGGTAAACTCGCGAGAGCACTGTTAGAAGAAAATGACTGCAAAGAAAATTTCAAGGACGCAATTTCCGAGATTTTACAACAGCTCACCGATAATCATCGTGTGATTGTGACCGGTTTTGACAACAAATTAACGTACAAATGTGCACTTGCCGCTGTACAGGAAAGAAAGTACAATCGAAATGATCAATGTTTAGAAATAAACAACCCTTCAGACTGGAAAAGAATTTGCTCTGAAGATGCACAGTTTGTTCTTTTTCGGGAACCGTTTGGGATATCAACTTATGATTCTCACAAAGTTGAAGTGATGTGTGAAGAATTTGACAGTATGATACAAGCAACTGATGACGATAATGATGATGTCATTGATATTGTCATAGTAACCAACCAAAGGCTCCTGAATGAGGTGACTAGACGCAATGAACATGACATGCTATCACCATCTTCGACCGTATACATAGATTCTACAACAGAGAAATCAACAGGTAGCTATGGTTGTCTTCCATACTTACAACAAAGTGGTTGTAGATGAGCTTCAAGAAAATTAAATATTATTTTCCGAACAGAATACAAGCCATATTTTGAAGCTCATAACTTCTTACATAATTAACAAACAAAGAATAAAAGTAACCTTTTTGTGGCCAAAAGTAAGAATAAAAGTAACTCCGTCACTTTCAATACTCCAAATACTGTTATGATTCTGCAAGCATTACTATCAATACTGTTATGCATATGCTATTGTAACTTTAAATAATGTAATGATTCTGCTATCATTACCCTAAATACTGTAAAGATTCTGCTATCATTACTCTAAATAATATTATGATTCTGCTTTCATTACTCTAAAAAAATGTAATGATTCTGTATCATTAATCAAAAGACTGTAAAGATTCTGATATCATTACTCTAAATAATGTTATGATTCTGCTTTCATTACTCCGAATAATGTAATGATTCTGTTATCATTACTCTAAATAATGTAATGATTCTGCTATCATTACTCTAAATAATGTAATGATTCTGCTATCATTACTCTAAATACTGTAATGATTCTGCTATCATTACTCTAAATAATGTAATGATTCTGCTATCATTACTCTAAATAATGTAATGATTCTGCTATCATTACTCTAAATAATGTAATGATTCTGCTATCATTACTCTAAATAATGTAATGATTCTGCTATCATTACTCAAAATAATGTAATGATTCTGCTATCATTACTCTAAATACTGTAATAATTCTGCTATCATTACTCTAAATACTGTTTGGACTCTGTTATCATTACTCTGAATAATGTAATGATTTTGCTATCATTACTATAAATACTGTAATGATTTTGCTATCATTTCTCTAAATAATGTTATGATTCTGCTATGATTACTCTAAATACTATAATGATTCTGCTATTGTTACTCTAAATACTGTAATGATTCTGCTATCATTACTCTAAATAATGTAATGATTCGGCTATCATTACTCTAAATAATAATATGATTCTGCTGTCATTACTCTAAATAATGTTATGATTCTGCTATGATTACTCTAAATACTGTAATGATTCTGCTATTGTTACTCTAAATACTTTAATGATTCTGCTATCATTACTCTAAAAAATATAATGATTCTGCTATCATTACTCTAAATAATAATATGATTCTGCTATCATTACTCTAAATAATGTAATAATTCTGCTATCATTACTCTAAATAATAATATGATTCTGCTATCATTACTCTAAAAAATGTAATGATTCTGCTATCATTACTCTAAATAATGTAATGAGTCTGCTGTCATTACTCTAAATAATGTAATGATTATTCCAGTAAATCTATTATCATTCCTTCAGGTTAACTTCTGTTATAATTTCAGTAATACTATTTGATCATTAGAATACACGATTTAAACTTATATCCACTAAGGCATTATGTTTTAACAATTTTGTGGTATGAAATGAACGTCGATTATTACTGTACAGAAATATTTCCATGTTAAAGTGTCTTTTAATTTTTATAATATGCTTTATGTACAGTAATGCTAGTTTTATTGAATTTGCATCTATGTGAAATAAATACTTTGTCATCATGACTCGTTTACATATTTAGTTATATACATGTATATTACAGACGAGAACATAACAGCAGACGACACTGTCCACGGAAACCTTCTTGGTAAGTCTATATATAAGATATCAGAATATTTTAACTGGAATATTGATGAAAATCAACTGAAGCTGAAGTTACAGTAACCTAAGTTGAACCATAGGCACGAGTATCGGACCTGGGAATAAAATATGACCACATTGATAAAAAATCATTGTGCTCATCTCAAATGTGTCACCCCCATAAAAAAAGTGAAATATGAGCCCCCTTAAAAAACACACATTGGCCATAGCTTTCGCAGAAGCGGTGGGTTCATCGCAGCGGCGGTGAAGTATTCGTCGCAGAAGCGGTGGATAAAATATGGCTGTTTGCTGTTGTCGGTAAGTATATGACTGAAGTTTGGTTTATGTTTTAATGGTTAACTTGAAACGCTCAGTGAGACTGGAGCCCACATATGTACTCTTTCAACCCATTACACGCACACGGTCAATTCATTGCCGTTTATGCAAACACATCTGTACAGTTTGATGAGGGGACGCCACTTTAGCCTTATTTTGGTTAAAACACAAACAAATGTGTACAAAACGACCCCCTTGTTGAACGGGGATTATTCTGTGATAATTATGGCTGAAGTTTTTTTCAATGGAAGGAAAATATAAAAGCGGACCTCGGACATATATTTGTATGAGCGTTTTATAATTATTACAGTAGTATCGTTTTAAACATCAAATAACCACGTTCTCAGATGTCAAAGTAAGAAAAGGGCTGCAGTCAATTGAAAAGTGCCTTACGTCATGTTAAATTCTTAAAATATACAAAAATGGTATCGGGCCCACCGCACTGCTTGCAATCGTATCCACCGCCGTTGCGACGAAACTATTTTTGTCACTTATTTTACAAACATGCAATGATGTATTATGGGGTCGTTTTGCACACATTTGTATGTGTTTTGACAAAATAAGGCAAAAGTGGCGTCTACAAAAGTGTTTGCATAAATGAATTGCACCGTGTCCGTGTAATCGGTTTAAAGAGTACATATGTGGGCTCCAGTCTCACTGAGTGTTTCAAGTAAAACATTAAAACATAAAACAACATTCAGTCATATACCTACCGACAACAGCAAACGGCCATATTTTATCCATTTTAAGTTAAGCGAAGGCCGGAATCTCCAGATTCTTGTCGTCTACGGGCAAGGGGTTTATTTCCCGGGGCACTGTGAAAACAATTGTCCTGATAATTAAGAAAAAAACATTTATCACTATTTTACGTTTGTATTAAGCTTCCAAATGAGACCAACCCTAAGTCCCCAGCCCTTCCCGTTCATGAAATATCTATCAGCAAACTAGCGAATTCGTGCTTAAACTCCCAGATAGAATAAAAAGTGGCACAATAATTCGGTACGTAAACATAGACTTATACATGTTTGTCAGCCGAGTACGGGTCAAAATCACTTGAACATACTAAACGATATTAATAAATACATTAAATGGTACCATTCATAACCGTCAGTAGCATCTGATACACGCAAAATTCGAGTTTCAAACCTCTCAACGGTCTTTCGCCATCAGGTATCCTTGTGCGAAATGTTTCGGTTTCGTTGCTATTGGCCAATCAGAAGACTCTTTACAATATACCGAACAGCTGATTTACAATGGCGTTTTCTTAACTTATAGTATCTTTTAAGGGGGCTCATATTTTACTTTTTTACACGTTTTAGAAGAACACAGAGGTCAATGTGGTCGTATGTTTTTTTCCAGGTCGGATACTCGTGCCTGTGAGTTGAACGCCTTTTATGTTAAATTAAATTGTTAATTGTTTCAAACTTGAAATAAAAACAGATTGATTGGAAACACCTTAGACATACAGACGATACAAACTATTTTATATGTAGCTTAAGGTAGTCTTACTGTTTTGCATTCTTGCCTAAGGATTCTACCATCGGCCAATACCAAAGCCAATCGATTATTTCCGGAAGATATTTTTTTAAAATCTTAGGCATTAGATTATTTACAATCACTCATCATTTATCGCTTTGTTATAAACGGTTAAAAATTATTGAATACCGAAGATCGTGAAAAATACATTCCGAAAATGACCAATTAATTACGATATTGGCCGATTTTTTTTGGCGGGAAAGCATTAGTGAAACACTACCTTAGCTTACTGATTACAGGCTCACATCGGAAAGCATAAATAATGCTTTATGTCCGTTAATATGTCCGAAGATTTATCTTCTATTGTTAAGGTAAACATTTTTCATTTGTAAATGTATTTTTCTTTTCTAAATGAATTGTTTTATTTGTGTAGAAATGTCAAGGATGTTCAAGAAGGAATATAAATTAAAAGAATTCAATAGTAAAGCGAAAGAAAAAGCAGAAAGTATCTTCTTAAAGCACAGTATGGTGGTCATTGTTGGACCAACTGGAAGTGGTAAAACGAGCCTTTCATTTGAGTTATTGTCCTCGTACGACCTCAGCAATGGTGAAGATAATTTTCTCGTTATCTCTAACCCAGGCGAGTTGAAGTATATCAAGTTCTCGTTACGCCCGGTTATCATAATTAAAATTTATGGTCAAACAAGTAAGTGGTACAGTCAGTTTGACAGACTGTATGCAGCGGTAAAAGCACGCCAGATAGCCGTTATCACAACTATAGGGTTGAAGACGTTTCAAATGATGCAGGCAAATATGCTGTCACATCCAGTTTTAGAGCATGTTGTGCGCATGCCAGGAAGTGAAGGTCTGAATGAAGGTAATCTATAAGCAATTTTTCTTTCAAATAAAGCTCAGATTTCATATCAATGTAGCACTATTTTTACTGGGTGTCAAGATGGCGAATAACGACAAGTAAAACATTTAACAAACGTGTAGTTATTTAATATTTAGCTGCTCAGGCTTTACAGTATATGACTTTATTTTATGCTTTTCAGTGGATTACTGATTCATCCGTGAAAATTATATTTGATAATTTCACAGTGAAAATTATCAAAATATAATTTCACTTTTTTCAATGACGAAACTACTTTTTTAAGATTTTCCCCATGTGGTACCTCAATTTTATTTTTACTGACAATTCTGACAATGTCAGGCTGTTAAAAGAAATAGCAAAGCTGAAATAGATAAATAACTTAAATGTCAAAAGTAATAAAGAGAGAAAACTTACTTCTATTCATTCATATTCCAATCACCAAATTTCGTCTCTAATTTTTTTGTTTCGTTTTTACATTCTGAAAAATACATTCCTTCCCCATGCAAAACTGCTCTTGATGACATTTGGGCATATTAATATATCCTACGAGCAATAACTGCCGTATGCTTTATGAAAAATTGAAAATTGAATTGAACAGCCATCACTCGTAGAATAAGTAAAACAACCCAGCGTTCCTTACTTTAGCAAGCTTCCAAGTTTTCCATTTTCCTAGCTCCTTTTCTGAATGTTTTCACATCTGTCAACACTTATTTTTTGTCTGTTACAATCCTCAAATAAGTTTTCTTTCTTTTAAAAAGGTGTATGACTAACAAATCCAAATTATATCCCTCTGAATCTTACACAATTATTTTCCTCCCATGAAATACACAACTTAAAAAATGGCTGCCGCTTACATTTTACAAAGCCAGGTCTAATATAAATTCGCAGTAAGTAACAGAAATATGGATGGATGGTTGGACTTTTTCTCCTACAAGAATTGTTTGTTTTTATTATTAAAACAAGCGATCATTCATATTTTTTTAATAAAATGAATAAATATCACCGTCATTTAACCTTGATTGGCGGACTTATTTTTCAGGTCAAGACTTCTTATTTTTAATGTGAAATTCCGTCTAAATGGGGCTCTCAATGGGGGAAACAAATTTTAATATTAAAATTATGGAAATTTCGTTTTAACTTGTTTTCAAGCATAAAATAAAAAAAAAATTGTCTATTTGTTGTGTAAGATGTAATTTTATTTCATCTCGTGAACTTTAAAAACAGTATTCTCACTCGTGGCTACGCCACTCGTGAGAATACTGTTTTTAAAGGCCATTCGATGAAATAAAATTTCATCTTACACACAAACAAACAAATATCCTCTATATGTTTCCGGTTATTGCAAGAAAGGCACAAGGTAAAATACTACAATTCCTTAGAACCGGAAATATCTCTTGCGGGTACTTGTTATCGCTGGACATGTTACACATGAATTTTATAGGCTTTCAAGTCCTGGTGATTTCGTTTATCCTCTATGTTATTTATTATTCAGTTTGTCACCTTCGCTCGTTAGACACATTAACATTAAAAACGTTAAAACATTGCATCTATATTCCTTATTCGAGTGTAGGTGTTTTGTCTTTGCATTAGAGCGGCTCAATTCTTGATAAGTATAATAAATTTTAAAGTAATAAATACAACGATATACAGTTTGTCCGGATGCAATCCGTTCCAAAATGAGCCTTTATAAAAAGTTGTAAACACTCTTTTCTGCAACACAACGTCTACACTTGAAGAAGCTACTCTAATCAATTTTTCTTTTCGGGAAAACGTGTTACTGTATCCTCATTATTGCATTATATGACAGAAGCTGTATCCTCATTATTGCATATATAATGCGATAAATGACAGAAGTTGTATCCCCATTATTGCATGTATAATGCGATATATGACACAAGTTGTGTATCCTCATTATGCATGTATAATGCGATATATGACACAAGTTGTATCCTCATTATTGCATGTATAATGCGATATACGACACAAGTTGTATCCTCATTATTGCATGTATAATGCGATATATGACACAAGTTGTATCCTCATTATGCATATATAATGCGATATATGACACAAGTTGTATCCTCATTATTGCATGTGTAATGCAATATATGACAGCATTTGTATCCCCATTATGCATGTACCATGCGATAAATGGTAAATGACGGAAATGTAATTTTCTTTGTTTGAGAATAGCGAATAAGAAGAAAATTAATTTGCCTGAATGTAATGAGTGACCGCTAGGTGTCGCTATTCGTAAAATTTTCGCACGTACAAAATTATCGATTCAAATAGTCATTCAGCTTTGGACAGTCAGACTGACCTGTACGCTTATTTTAAAATTTTAGCTAGGTTTTCATATATTGTGGACCAAAATTAACAATATATATGTGACGTAATGAGTTACACTTTTTAGAAAGTTATATTGCTAGTATTTCATTTTAGTGTATTTATCAGAAGTAATGATATTATAAATGATTACTTGTTTTGTAAAATTGTTAAACACATAATAGTCAAGTTTTACTGTATTATGATACAATAATAAAGTTAAAGTTGTTTGATGTCATAGTATCAGTGTTCATCTGACTGTCTAGACGCTTACTCAAATACAGAATTTGTATTGCAACTAGTTCTTGTTTTCTATTAAAACAGTTTGAGGTATAGTCATACTCTTATGTAAGGGAAGGAATAGTATCAAGGAAATCATATCCTCATTATTGCATTATAAGTTGTATGTATCATACGATGTATGACAGAATTTGTATTCCCATGATTGTATGTATCATAAATTGTATCCTAATTGTATCCTAATTATTGATTGTATAATGCGATATATGACACAAGTTGTATCCTCATTATGCATGCACCATGATATATGACACAAGTTGTATCCTCATTATTGCATGTATCATACGATGTATGACACAAGTTGTATCCTCATTATTGCATGTATCATGCGATATATGACACAAGTTGTATCCTCATTATTGCATGTATCATACGATATATGACACAAGTTGTATCCTCATTATTGCATGTATCATACGAAGTATGACACAAGTTGTATCCTCATTATTGCATGTGTCATACCAAGTTGTATCCTCATTATTGCATGTGTCATACGATGTATGACACACGTTGTATCCTCATTATTGCATGTGTCATACGAAGTATGACACAAGTTGTATCCTCATTATTGCATGTGTCATACCAAGTTGTATCCTCATTATTCCTTCGTATGACACATGCAATAATAAGGATACAACTTATGTCATACTTCGTATGACACATGCAATAATGAGGATACAACTTGTGTCATATATCGTATGATACATGCAATAATGAGGATACAACTTGTGTCATACTTCGTATAACACATGCAATAATAAGGATACAACTTGTGTCATATATCGTATGATACATGCAATAATGAGGATACAACTTGTGTCATACTTCGTATAACACATGCAATAATAAGGATACAACACAAGTTGTATCCTCATTATTGCATGTATTAAACGATAAATTTGCTACAATTAAAATGTAATAGTTGTGAATAGAATGTGCCATAGGCTTGGTTACAGACATTTGCCAACACTTTTACTCAGAACAATTTTTAAATGCATGTTGATTTATTATGTCACGGATTATTAAGTGTAATTTTATGTTTGTATTACAGAAAGAATTGATTTTGATGTAAAGACTGATGGCACAAGGTAATGGTATTATTTAACAAAAGGTAACAAGCTTTTAAAAGTAAAACATCAATTAATCCAAAAAGTAGAACAGAGGAATGATAAATGGCAATCTACTTTCAATTTATAAATTTTTTGTTAGATTTTAATTATAATCATATTTGCAAACAGTACATTTGCTAAAATTCCGCTTACGTAAACATCCCATACTTCATTTACTTGACATCCCTAACTACCGGTATCTTCCGGGGTGTATTGATAAACATTAAATCTTGAAAAATGTTCTACATTTGTGTATCGGACTTTTTACTTTTAAACAAAGTAACCAATACTTTATTTCAATTATAAAAATGTACATGAAGCATTCGCACGTGGTGATTCACATTAATTAATTATTTTAAGATGGGTCTCTCTGTTATTATTCTTTCATGACAATAGTGGTATTTATCAATTTCCCAAAGTCATCACAAGCCTACAGTTGAAACACCCAATATCGCGAAAAGTTTTGAAATAAAAAGTTATAATATACCCCAATTTCCAACAAAATGATAATAATACAAATATTTAAAGATGGATTCGGGGATATTTAGTGTCGTTATCTTTGTATCTATGAAGTATATGAAAGGTGGTTTAATTTACCAAAATATCACTGGTATATCAGGAACCTTATTTTAGATAAAGAGATTTTATCGCATTAAGCTTAGCATTTTTAATGTCATCAAGAATCAAATTTCACTATACATATTCATGAATATCCAAGAAAACGTAATTCTATGATTTTTTAAAGTTAAATTGTGACTTCTTTAGAGGAAATATTTAGGTATTTTTTTCTATATTGTTGAAGCTTTTATTTTACAGTTCAAATGTATTACATGAAGGAAATATCGCGCATGAGGATACAAATATTGATGAGCAGAGATTAAGGCGTGTAATAAGCGTTCGGAACTATAAGATTAAGCACGATACACTCGAGGATGGTTGTTATATTAACGATGTATCAGTTTTACCTACAGGAGATATTTTATTAGCTGCCTCGAACATGAGTAAGCTTATAAAAGTGAACAAACATTATGATGTTATCAGTACCTTATCATTAAATAATGAACTTTATCTAGTCAATGTGTGTCACATAGGTAATAATATTGCTGTAGTATTAGGTTTTCGCAACCTGCTCTTTGTTGATGTAACAGGAAATATGTCATTGATCAGATCAGTCAGCACAAATCATGGATATAATTCATTTACCTGTCATAGTGACAAACTATATGTTGCAGACATTCATTCCGTACATGTTTATTCAACTGATGGTGAATATATAAAACAGCTTTACACATCAGAAGACAAAGAGTACATGTATACATATACTGACATCGCAGTGAGTAATGACGGTAGTATGATATATATCTTGAACCGAAGTAATAAGCTGACTACTATTGACAGCTCCGGTAACCATTTATTCACGTTAGATATACCTGATATTCAACCATTTAATATTTACCAAAATCAAATATGTGTAGATGATCAAGGATTCATATTCGTTTTGGGTGAACATATTATTAATGTAGATGAAGATGAAGAAGAAGGAACGTCGACTATAATACAGATAAGTCCTGACGGCCAAAAGTCCTACGGGGCGTTAATCGAAATTGAAGGTAGTGATTATCGTTCGATTCAGTTTGACAGTAAAAAAAGTGCATTAGTCTTATCAGGAAAGTTAAAAATGATAAAAGTTTTAAAGCTCCGTTAATACTTCATGCAAAGTTGGAAAAACATCATATATGTTAAAAGCTGTTACATGTTGATGACCACATAACTTATCGAAAATTGTTACACTTTTCCCCGGACACAAGGTTTTTAACAACACTTACTGTCTTCTATTCGCTTTACTTCACAAAAGTTCAGATGTAAAAACCGCTACTGACCTTATACATTTCCGATACTTTGTACCAGTTCCAATCTATCTGTCCACTACTTACCGACAACTTCTCTACTTAAAACATATATATAGTTTGCGACTTGATAATTTGATGACGACATCAAAGAAAATATTTCACGATATTCGGGGAAAATAGCAAAAATGATTTGATATCATTAGAAATGAGTGAAAAAATTGTTAATGCTTGACATGTAAGCTCACATAACATTGCACTCGCACACTATCAGTTATTTTGTTTCAATCGTAGCTACGTCACTCATTAACTAATCTCCGTCCGAGAATTGAAAAAAAAAAACAACTACATCAATAATCGTTAAACGTTACTCATGAACATATTACAGACAGTATTTCTCTAAAATAACTTGAATTCTTACGCAAAACGTCTGTTTTATTTCACTAACACATATGTACCCTAAACTTTACCACCTTAAAATTTACGTGTTTTATAAAGTGTAAGTATCACACATGTTATTATTGAGTGCAAGTATCATACATATATAAATTGAATGCATGTATCAAATATCTGATACTGAGTGCAAGTATCACACATGCTTTTATTGATATTGTTTTTATTGAGTGCAAGAATCATGTATGTTTCATTGAGAGCAAGTATTACACGTGTTTTTATTCAATGCAAGTATCACCATTATTTATAAAGTGCAAGAATCACGCGTGTTTCATTGAGAGCAAGTATTACACGTGTTTTTATTGAGTTCAAGTATCACAAGTGTTTCATTGAGAGCAAGTATAACACATGTATTTATTGAATGCATGTATCACACATGTTTTATTTATTGCAAGAATCACGCGTGTATGTATTTATCGAGTACAAGTTTCATACATGCTTTTATTTAGAGCAAGTTTCAGCCATCATTTTATTGAGTGCAATAATCACAGATGTTTTATTGAGTGCAATTATCATACATGCTTTTATTGAGAGCAAGTGACAGCCATCATTTCATTGAGTGCAATTATCATAGATGTTTTATTGAGGCAATTATTATACATGGTTTTTATTGAGAGCAAGTTTCAGCCATCATTTTATCGAGTGTAAGAATCACACATCTTTTTACTATCCTTGTTTTATGCATTTGATATCGGGATGTAGCAATATTATATCCCGCAAACTGTAGTGTTTTTATGCTTCAGTAACACATTGACAAAAAGTGTCATTGCAAATAGTAAACAATTTATTATATCATATTATATTGATTTTTATTGTAAAAACAATGTTACTGTAAACAGAGAAATTTGAAACATAATAACTCGTACAAGATCATTTTGTTAGTCTAGGTTGTAAAATAAAGTTTTGAGTAGAACTATTCTTTTTTTTTATTTTACATGTATTTAAGTTAAATATTGCTTCAAAATACAGTTTAAACCTACAGATTGTCGTAAGGGCCACCGTTGTTATACTTTATAATCCAATGCGACAGTGCGATAGTGAGATGGCGACAGAGCAATAACGCTATGACGACAGTACAATAATGCGACAGTGCGAAAACGACAGTGCGATAACGCGATGACGACAGTGCGATAATGCGATGGCGTTAAAACGATAGTGCGATTGTACTATCGGGTTGTCGCCATCGCGTTTTTGCACTGTCACCATTGCACTATTGCATTGTCGTCATCACACTAACGCATTGTCGCCCTTTGGATTACATAGTGTTTTATATGATAGAATAGGGGAAAATAATTTTACTTTTGTCAATAGATATATTTCTTCTTTTTTGTGTCTTGTTCTATTCTGTATACTAAAAACGTTAAAGAGTTATAAATAACGTACATGGAAAATGTAATAAACTGTGTAAAACTTTTAAAAAATCGAAAGATTTCAGATGAAAAAATTATATTATGTTGACTTTCAAAAGATGCAAAAATTTAAATGGTCAATAATACATAGAGGATGGTTTTTTCTGCATAAATACAGGATTTTTTTTATCGAGTGGTATGAGAAGTTGTGGTATTAATTAATACATTTTACTCTTTGTGACATTACAATTTGAAAGACTTACCCTAAAAAGTTTGTATATTGGCTGAATTTAGAAGAAAGTAGTCCGGCAAGACACAAGTGAAAATACGAAAACATGTTTCACTGCCATGAAGTATTCTCTATAAATCCAAATAAACAAATAAAGTTCATTAATAAATCTAACTGGTTAACATTGTTCACTAAACAAATACTGCTTAACTCAATTAATTTCTATTAGATTTTGAATTGGTCATCAGAGGTTTTATTGTTTTGTAAGATGTAGAATATATATATTGAAGATGTAAAATTTATTATATTGACTAACATTGTAAAAAATCAAATTTACGTCTAGACATGATTTTCTAATGTATATCTAAAAGAAGTGGTCAGCAATTTTCAATTTAAGTTGAACTGGTCAGCAGATTCTTCGATATGTTTGATATGTCAGCAGATTCTACAATACATTTAACTGTACATATGTACAGTAAGTTTAGTCTTCTGACCATGTAGTGTGAGAAAAAAATACGACAAAAAAGACAACCAAAAACAAAACAATTAAGCAAGTTCTTTTATATTTAGTTGCTAAGCAGTTGCAGGAAGTCGGTAATTTGGACTATGTATGTTTTCCCCTGAAAACAGAAAGTATTTTTCCGAAATGAATATAACGGAAATATAGCTAAATAAATATTGTCTGACTATGCCCACCAGAAGAATCAGTTGGTTAAATAGTAGAATATGCTGACTAGTTATATTTATAGTGAAAATTGCTGAACACCTTCATTAGATATATGGAGAAAATTATGTTTTGACATATTTTTTTATTGTTTAACACTGTTAGTAACACAACCCATTCGATATCTTACAAAACAATAAAACCACCAATGACCAATTTCAATTTACTAGGTATTACTTAGTGGTTAAGCTGTATCTTTTAGTGATCAGTGCTGACCAGTTAGAGATATTAATGAACAATCTATGTATTTGTCCAGAAAACCTAGTATGTACTTCTGACAAGTTAAATGTAAGGATACTTGTCATTTTGTTTTTTATTACACAGACTGTTCAAATTAACATAATCTTTATCATTTCCCATTACATTTTTTTTTATATTTTTGTTCATATTTTTAATATGATCTATGAATTTGATTTGTTTATCTTTTTATATAAATAATAACAATTACTTTTACATTTTACATTTTTAAAATATCAACATCACATCATTTTCATCTGAAAACTTTCGACTACATCAAAGTTTTGCACAATTTATTACAATTTCCGTGTATGTATAACTCTTTAAATATTTCCCCTATTTTTGGATATAAAATGTTACTTATAAATCATTAATAATTTTATGTACACAAAAGAGAAATAGAAAAAAGAATAAAAAGATAAAACTCCAAAAAATCTATATATAAAAGTATAGTTATTTTCCAATATTCTTTACGTCAGCAGTTTAGTGCCACCAAATAAGACCGTAGGGTGATAGTCGACAATGCGATAACCAATACGATAGTGCGGTGTCAACAGTGCGATAAGGCGATCACGACAGAGCGAATACGCGATGACGACAATGAGATAGTTCGACAGTGCTATAACGCGATGATGACAGTGCGATAACGCTATGGCGACAGAACGATACCGCCCATTGTCGCCTGGATTATAAAGTATAACCACGATGGTCTTAACCCTATTCCGTAGAAAACTGGTATTCGGTAGTCGGATGTACCGACGATAGTCAACAGAATATAGACCGGATCGTTGCACATTGTAAGGGAAACAAATGAAGGAATATAATGATAATAATAATAACAATAATAATAATAATAATCTTTATTCACAAAAGGTTACAAACCCATGAGTGTCATGGTATACAATCAATATCATTTATAATAAATATAGATATGTAGGCTAGATATGCCTCCCTTAACTCCTACACGGCATAACAGTCTCGAAGAAAAATATCTTTACTTCTTTAATTACTGACTTTTGCTGTTTAAATGAAATTATGCGACAAAAACAATTCTTTCGTGATGAAACAGATCATTTCAACGCTACATTCGATGACTTTAAAACGCCACCACAATTACAGGTCAAACATTAATTCACCAACCTTACGACACCTGGAAACTTGAATCAATCTTCATCCAAAATAAAATTATGGCAACTCTTTACCGTAAAATGTTTTAACTTTTACAAGAAGCGACATATACAAGCTCGGAAAAGAAAGTAGCGATAGAGCTATACCTCAGAAAGAGACAGCTCTGGTATTTGCCATGTCTACTCTCCATATGTTAAGATTTTAGTCAAGAAAGGTGTTTATAAACCTTGAATATTATGAAAAACATCGACATCTGGTCACATGGCGATGTTCCAGCTTTACTGTTGGAGAAAGACCTCGGGATCCCTTCGTCAAAATCTGGCAACTGAGTAGAATCAACGATAGTAGAGATTGTTAGAAAGCTTACTCACACGACAGTATCCAAATTTTCTTGCGGGATAAAAAACGACAGTGGTAGGATTCGAACCCACAGTTTTGAGGGACAAATGGTTTCAGTCAACGACCCTTATCACTCGACCATGGACGCCCCACCCCCTGATTTGAAGTAAATTATTAAGCCGGCATAAAATAAGATATCCTAAGATAAAAAAATATCACATAGTGTGTGGTGTGCTATGGACCAAAGAAAAATGCTATTAATATATGGCAACATGAAATATAACAAACAAGTGTTTTCTTTACTGAGTTTCCGAGAAAATATATTTTTAAACTTTCCTCATTTTTTATAGAAATGTCAGTATTGTACTGATTGATGAATCAACTATCTTATACAGTCCGAAAACAGCCCTATCTGAAAATGTGCCATGCAAGCTGTTAGTCACAGAAATTATATCGTAATTACTTGGTTCTACATTAAAATACAGGTTTAATTCAATCAGTCACCGATCACTGAAGATACATTGGGTGTAGTTGTATGCTTCAACACTTAGAAGTTCTATTTTATCTGTGTAATTAATATTCTTTGCTCTTCGTATGATTAGCGGGTGTCTTGCCTGAAATTGTTTGAGTTAAGCACATTCCTTTCATGAAATACCCCTTCAGGGAATCGGTTAAACATATCATGCAGACTATAAATATCATTAATACATTGTCTATTGTTATTGTATTTTCTAATCGCAAGATCAGTAAAAACATAGCTAACATCCACGGTCTAACACAAAATTTCCTCACAGACCTAACAACGCGAAGTAGTTCTCACTCAAAACTGCTTAAAAACCAGCAATTTAAAAGAAGGAATAATTTTTAATGTAGGCATTAAACGAATTACAGTGCATTTAAAGTTTACATTAGTCAATAGAAATATGAGGTTACAATCACAAATTTCGCGGATGAATATCTTTTTTACCCAATTAATAATTGTTCGACTATTTCCGTAAAGCTTAATCAATGAAAATGCTATTTTTAGCTATGTCGATTACCGAATACTCCAGAGCGTAGTACACAAATAAATCTGACTGTCGAGTAATGGAATATATACATGTCGGAGTGTTTTGGCAAGAAGATTTTCGCTAAATTATTTTCATCAGTGTTTAACAACAGGTTTATCGTGAACAAAATACCTCGAAATTAATAAGGATTACAAATACGAAATGAAAATTCTCAATTATAGAATTACAATATATTTGTTTTTATTCACGCTACATACGTATTACTTCACTGTGGTGCAGAGGTAGCGCGCTTGTTTAGGGTGTGAGAGGCCTAAGGTTAAAATCCTTGTCGAGGCAACATTTTTTTGAAGTGTCTTTTTTAAGGAAGTAGCCACGATATGCAAGGATAAAGTGTGGCTGTAATAAAAATGAAAAATGATTTTTCATGCAACTCTAGGCATGCAGAATTCCATATGTATCAATCACAAACTGTTAAACGCAGTCGCTGCGTAAGATGAATAATAGTATATAAAAATAAACTTATACAGGAAAGATCAGAAAATTCCACAGAGCATGCAGGCCTTTGATTTTTGATATAGATATGTAGAAATATTTTAGATACAGCGCCATGATCTTTGAGTAATGTACATGCAATTTTTATTTAAATTTGGCTCATTAAAATTTTACTGAGGAATTGTGGACCTTCCAGTTTTCAACGATTCCTGCAGCCCTTTCCTGCAATTCAATCAACGTATCATATAAAAGCTCGAACGCGCCCTTGATCAACCTCTTGCACGCTTAAAAACCACTAAAGTAAATCCATGTTATTTGTTCTAAAATTCAAGACTTGCTGTTTCTTGACTGTTTGTTTACCGGATACAGATGAAAGTTAAAGGCAGGATTGCGTTCGATGTTTGG